CAGAAAATAATGTGAGTGAGATAATAATAATAAAATATGGGAGAAACAGTTCAGTTGGCAAAAATATAACTAGAAGTGATTAATTCAATGTTGATAATATATAAAAGAAAGATCGCATATAAGGATATAATATGGTAAGAAAGAATTAGTTTGCAGAAAAATATGAGGCGATTTTAACCTTATAGTTTAAGGGAAAACAGAGTGTCTACATCTACGACATTGTGGTCCATATCACACATTCTCCAACGATTGGTTACGATATTCACGCGAACCCCAACTAAGTATTCTGCATCTACAACCATGGTTCAGATCAGAAGTTAGTGACTCCTAGCACTGATGACACGTTTTGGTTTGACCGCCCCTGACTTTCTTCCAACCGTCTCCAACACTAATCAGCATTGCGCATCGTACCACGTAGTCCAACCATCTCAGTCGGTGAAGATTTACAACCTCATTGACTAATTTATTGTTATTCCCTAATACTCTACGTCTAACTTCACTATCACTTATCCAGTGATTCCAGCAGATGCGACCAAATACTAGTAGCTTACGAGTATCTTCTACTCTTAATGGTCATGTTTCACAGCCGTAAAGTAGAACAGAACGAACTGCTGCGCAATATACTCGTCCCTTAATTGGTAGACGGATATCTTGCCTTCGCCATAGGTGACGTCAGTTGGCAGAAGCCAAATGAGCTTTTCGAATCCGTGCACAGATTTCGTCAGGCACCAACACACTAGGGCTGATCCGACTTCCAAGATAAGTGACGTGTCGACGCGTTCAAATAGTTCGCGCCTAATCCTTAGTTCAGGTGTTCACTCAGGCCAGTCCTGAAGAATCAACTTGCATTTACATGGGGAGAAACGCATCCCAAACATCCTGGCGTTGTTGCTCAGTGCTACCACGAGACTGCATTTTATCAGCGTCTTCATCAAACAGAACTATGTCATCTGAGTAGTCTAAGCCAATAAGCGAGCCTCCTGCAAAGAGATTAATTCCTGAAAATTCAGTCGACGAGAATGTTATTCCCAGCAATAGGTCTATGGTGAAATTAAACGGAAATGGAGATAGTGGACAGCATTGTCGGACACCACATGAGGTTTCAAGATCGGGTGACAGTTATTTGTAAGCTCTGAATCGACTTGTAGTGTTGAAATAAAGAGCCTTTACAAGTTTTATGCACATCTGAGGTACACCTTTCAATGACAGACACTGACACAGAACCTCAATCTACAGAATCGAGTGGAGCTCCTAAGTCAAGAAAGACCATAATTATCGGACGCCGATAAGCATGTCTGTGTCCCAAGATCTGACGAATAGTGAATATGTGGTCGATGCAGCCACGATCAGGTCTGAAGCCAGCCTGATTTTTTCGTATGTGCAGTCCACGAGTCTTTGTTAGGCGTCCGATAACTATTGGAGCTAGTATTATAGACGCTATATCAGTTAAAATAATCCCTCTAAGGTTATCACAGGATGATTTCGACTCCTTCTTATACATTGGTACGATACGTAATTGTGACCAGTCAGATGGGATAACGTCCAACTCCCAGATTTTAGCTAAAATATAAGTCAACCTATACATCACATTGCATTCCTTCTTCCACAGGGAATAAGCAATATGACTGCTCACACTTGTGAGCAGAGCTGACCATCTTAAAATTGAACTAAAAATGGTAACACAAAAATGGATATTTAAAAAAATTTCAAACCTTAACTGAATAAATCAAGTCAAAGTCACCCAAGTATCCAATAAATGCACAAAGCAAAGTCAATACATACGAGTTTAACTTAACTGAAATAAATTCAACTGAGAGACAGTAGTTTTGATGCGTAATTGACGATCAAAACAGTAAACTTAACTCAACGAGGAATAACACCACTATCTTTTAAACAGCTAAGTTATAGTACGGAAAAACGACAAATCTTAAGATTTAGCTCCAAGTAAGTTTATAAGCATCATAAAGGTCTAGCAGAGAGAGATCACATGTATTAAAATGTTCAAAAACATGTTGAATTTACACATTAGCAAGCCGAAATCAACATGATTTGAAGTTAAATAACTCTGATGAATCGTATGACTATACACTACGTGGATTCGTGCTACCCAAAGCAAGAAACTATAAAGACTTACGAGTTATATTAAGCAATGATCTCAAAACGACTAGTCACTGTAAGGCTGCTGCTGCAAAAGGCTATAGGGTATTATGGTCAATTCGTAGGTCTTTTCAGTATTTAGATGATGAAATGTTTGGATTACTATACCCGATTTATGTGCGACCACATTTAGAATACGGGATTCAAGCAGCGAGTCCTTGTTTCAAATATGAAGCAGATATGCTAGAAAGAGTCCAACGACGAGCTACTAAGATGGTACAAGGTCTAGCTGGCCTATCTTATGAGGACAGACTGAGACACCTTAACTTATTTCCGTTATCTTACCGTAGAGTACGGGGTGATCTAATATTGGCTTATCGTATACTGAACGATGACCTTGGTATTAACATGTCTTATCTTTTGCTTCCGTCTAGAACCGATCATTTGAGAGGACATTCGAAGAAAGTTCAAAAACCGAGATCACACCGTTTACGTCTGGAGTTCCGTTTCTCGCACCGAGTAGTGAATTACTGGAATTCTCTACCGGAACACGTAATATCAGCACCGCCTGTTAATATATTCAAAACGAGATTGGACCTCCACAGTATTAAAAAATGCAAGAATTAATATAGGTCGACAGACCTCCTATCCTTATTACTGAAGACTTTGAATTTGACCGTGTTTTAGTACCTAAGCTGGTTTACGAAAAGTATCTCGGACAGAAGCTGATTTTAAATAGGGGTGACTGTATAACATGGTCATTCACAAACGAATTTCTGGCAATACTCACAAATATAATATCAGGGCTACAGACCCCAGTTTCAAACAACCCGGAGTGCGCGGTGCCGCCGTTGTTTACCATCCTTTTCAAGAGCCTATTATTAGTGACCACAAATTTTATTAAAAAATTTGATAATCGAAACCTGGCATAAATTTTTTTGCTTCATTTGACTGTCTCAACTGTTAAAAAATACTTTATCGAATCTATCTGTCAATATCGTCCCGCCTTATTCACACCTTCCACGTGATACTTCCACACTATCAAAGTATTCTTTATGGTAAGACAGGGGTAGATAGTGACCATTGACCCACTGGGATTTGACATGTTGATCACAATACACTCAGCAACCAGAACTAACTTTTATCAGTCACGTATGAAGAGTTAAAATCAATGCAATTACTGAGTTTCTGAATTTAAAAATGTCATGCCCTGGTTTTGAAATTCGTCCTCAATGATGGAAACGTTTTTATCTTCTAGTTAGTCGGTAGAAGAGTATCATTCGTTAGTTCCATTTGTTTTGGCCCAATAAACTTTATGAAATTTTCAGACAAAAAAAATGAGTTACATGTTTAGTGGCGTTTCTTTCGAGTCAACTTCTATGAACAGGTTAGTCTGTATGACACATGTTCAAACAGTTATATAAATTAAAAATAGTTCTATTGATGTCACGAGCTAACCTAAGTCAAACAGCCTTTGAAAATCTCGGAACACTGGTAAAACCTTTTACCATAGTCCGTAACTTCACAGCAACGCACATCTACGACGGTATCATCACGGGCCAAGCTAAGGATCTTCCGTCTCTCAACGTACTGCTTAAACTTTGAACTACTGGTCAGGATTCAGTCTCATTCTAGTGTGAGACCCTTCAGCAGTGCTCGTCCACGATCCCGCCTCGCGAGATCCAAACCCTGAACCTTCAGTCTCACGCGCAAACGCTTTACCTGTAGATCACTGGGCAGGCATCCAACGGTGTTAATGTCTAACTTCAATAAATCCACAAAATTGTCCAACCGTCCACTGCTTCCAGCTTTTCCATAGTGGCCCGGCTTTAATTGACTCATGGTTTGGAAATGGCATTAGACTACTTGGGTGGTCATTTGTAAGATTGAGGAACAGTCCTAGATTTCACAGGGAATAAGGGTTTTTGCTTGAACGTTTGCCATCAACTATAATACTCGTTAAGAAAAGAAAGATCAGCACAGGGTGTGAATTGATAGTTGAAAAGTGAGTATCTGAAATTACTTACAACTGCGCTCAGTTAGGAGAAATCGACCATAGCACGCCAAACTTTCACCCCCCTGAAATACGGATTCGTCACTTGGAATTGTATAAAAAGATCAATATACAAATATATGGCGCAAAATCACCGCCTTTTCCCTCCCTCATTATCGTTCTTTCGGTCGGCCGGAGAAACAAATAAAAATGAAATGACTGTCTGATAAAAACGGTTAGAATTTTACCATTGTGTTCGCGATTTATGAAATATACAGGAAGAAAACATAAATATGTACGTGTAGGTATAACGCAGCTGTTTGGGAGCCCCAAAAAATTACTAATCCAACAAGATGTTGTAACGTGCAAAAAAATAAGTTAAAAGGTTGGAAAGTTGACAGAACTAGTTCTCGAAAAGCGGTCTTCCAGGTTCTTTCGAAGGTAATGTCTTTCAGAACGTGTTGAAGTTTGTCAATCTTCAGAGACTACGGAGGTTTTACTATTCGTATTGTTCAATAAAGGTTGTAATTAAACTTCCATGTCGAGGTTAGTGGCGCTATGTAATATGAAGAATTGCTTGTTTTACAAGTGTGAGATCTCCATTTGGTCAGTGCTGACGACGTCGGGCTCCGCTCATATTCGAGGTTGTAATGTGGAACCTATCAGAGTCGTTCTTAGGCATCATCATGCAGTGGGTTCAATGAGTCCTGGCGTTCAAAAACGTGTACTCTGCCTCGTGAGGTTGGCTGAGTTAAAACGTCAGTTTAGAGCTAAGGATTTAGAATTCTCCTGATGGTCCCAGAGTTGTCTTGTTACTAATTTCAACTTCAGATTCACTTGATTTCCCTCGTATATTTGTTCGTTGTCTCCCCTATTAGCCGGGTGATTTGAAACGTTTTCATGCATAAACATGAGAACGTATGCTGTGTTCTACAAGGGATACCTCAAACTCTTGATAGCTAGTTTGTGGAGCATGATTTGCCTGATATTCAGAAGGCACTTAAAAACAGTATGATTTATCATTTACACACACTGACCTATTTACAGGCATTAAAATACCAAAGTGTGAAATATGATATTGTCCCTTTATCTCCCTTATCTAAGTACCGGTTGTGTAAGTTTATGAAAGTTTTCTGTTCAATACTTTAGGTTTTGTATTGTGTTGTAGTAGTCTGTATTATTAAAAAGTATCATAGACACTTGAGATTTTCAGATTAGTTAACACAACGTGAAGTGATCATGTGCAAATGAACTTGAGAAAATTCCACTAAGAGGAACATTGTGTGTTTCTCTAAGGGTTTCAATGCTTTTCCTCGTGTTTGAAAAGTAAAATTCTTTATCACAAACTACCACTAATGATTAGAGCACTGGTTATTTCTCCTAAGCTTACATTAGGACTGGAAAAATCTCTATATGTAAGACTGGGCATCATAGCAATCATTAAAATTTTCGGAAACGACGATCAAGTAAACCGAGTCTCCGGGGTCAATAACTGGAACGCCCTTTCAGGATAAACTATAGAAAACTGAACCTCTACAGATGCATTTGCGCTTCGAATAGGAATTTTCATAGTATATGTGTGAAGTTATATAGTTATGGCTTAGTATATGAAGTCCTACACTTCCCGTAAGTTTTTTCTCACCTGTAACGGTCTGGGTTTCCAAGTAGTGTTAAGTACGGCTAAAACCTGAGTTCATAATACTTATTCAGTGATCAGGTTCCATCTGCTTACTGGTGCTGACATGTTTCCTCTCGTTCTACACGTGTTTCAATGTTAAGATGTTGAAGCAGTAATAATAGCATAACAGACGACGCTGCATGTATAGCAATTAATAGTGATCGATATTGTCGGAATTTAAGTAGGTTGGCTGTGCTTATATTCACTGACCACTAAACCACCTCTTCTCGGTAGCCTCTAAAAACCTTATTCACCTGAAGAAACAGGTTTTCAAGAAATGTTTACACCTGGATTCTCGGGTTGCTTTGATTTGCTAACTCACTGGTAAAGTATGGAGATGGCGCACTTTAGTGAGCGGTAGGCCCCTTCTAGTTTTCTGGATAATCCATTACTTTCACCATTCGTAATATCACTAGGTAAACAATGAGTTTATATGTGTTTCATCCCTTTAAGACCACTCATTCAAACAGCAAGTTTGTTAAGGTCTTTTATTTCGATGTTGTGTAAATGTCACTTTAACATAGAAAGCACCCAATCTGCGTCTGTTCCGACCGTTGTTGCTACCTTAACGTGGTGGTCGGGCTTGCTTATCATGATGAAGCAACCGAGCTATACTGGCTGGAACAACCGCTCCCCAAGGTTTTACCATGTCAGACAGGTCGGTTGAAGAGCAGCAAGACTAAAAGCAACAAACACAAGGTCCGGAGGCGAAGTCGTACTGCTGACTGTACAGAAGTGTGACAACAGTAAGGTGTTTCCTTCATCAACCAGCATAACAGCGATGCTGCCTTCCCACAAGAGGGGTGGGGTTAGAAAAGGTCGACCCTAAAAATGCACACCTCGCCTTATCCCACGGATATCCGTCTCCGGCGGTATGGTCTCAACAAGTACGGAGCTAACACAAAAATTACTCGTAAAAAGGTCGTGTGTGACTGACCTCAAGCAGTTGTCACTTGAGCACTGCGGTCATGTCACTAAGACCACCTCTATTCCAATTTCCTTTTCAGGTACCTCCAGAAGAACCCTTCCACGATGTGGGCGACCGGGAAGTGATAACCGCCCTCATGCCTCTAACAGCACTCAAGACCACTGTATTCATAATCAACCCCGTTCTTCAATTCCTGACTGAATCTGCGTGTGTGAATTAGGCATAGGGCGCCTCTGGTCCTCCATTAGTGGGAAGTCAGCTCTTCCTCTCAAGATGCTTTCACATGGCCACATGTATACAACCAGTCAGAGAAGTTCTACTCACTGCCTTCTCGCGGCATCACCGCTGCTTACAAAATTGAGAGAACGAAAAGCGAATGTCCGGCGCTTCACCGGGTTGGTGGATATGGAGGATCCACCTAGGGGAGTTAGAAAACCCTTATTCCGAACCGATGGTGCGTATTGGCTCCAATATCCTGAAGGAACGAATAGTGTATGAACCAATTGTTTTAACCGGTTACCATGGGACTACATGTCCTTACGTTGCCCCATTGCCTTGTGGGTTGGACCTTTAGGTTGAAGTCTCGGAATGTGACCCCCTGAGAAAACCACCTGTTTCGGTTCAGACACCTGGGCAGTATCCCAGCCGTCACACATATCGAATTATTTGTGCTGCATATCTGTTTGGTGCCTTCTTGTACCAATGTTTATGTGTCTGTAGATATCACCTTACCATGTGATATCAGAAATCGTTCACTAATAAATAGTACAAGTATTGCATTAAAATATAGAGTAGTGGCTTAATGGTCGGTATCTCATTTCCAACCATCATGTTACAGGTATGGGTCCTGCTACATCGACTTCAGTCTGGTCAGCATGGTGTCGTCGTTAGTTTACATGTAGTGTGATTAAAAGCTCGATAAATGACTTACATCTTATATCATTTTCTGAATATTTAAGATGATCCCTGTATGTTGTTAATGACAAGAAGTAAAATTACCGATTAAAATGTTTTATAATTTCGGACGTATAAAAGTTCTAACTTTATTTCTTTCCTTCAGGTACATTAAGACGAAAAGTTATGGTATTAGATTTGGATGAGACACTGATTCATTCAGTACACGATGGGATAATGCGGCCAACGGTCAGACCAGGAACACCTCCAGATTTCGTTCTCAAAGTTTTTATTGACCATCATCCTGTTCGCTTCTCCGTTCATAAACGACCGCATGTTGATTTTTTCCTCAATGTGGTAAGTTTTTTAATATCAGATTTTGTGTTTTTCTTAAAGGCTTTAAAGTAACTCATTTTTATCCTAATTAACGTATATTTTCTTCACTTATCAGCTAAATGCATGTAAGTAGGTCTCTATCAGTTTCCAAATACCTAGTTTAAGTATCCTTAAAGGTATTACAATTCTATGAGTCATACTGTGATTTATGATACTAATGCTCAAACTATTTTTCCTGCTATATGTGTATACTAAGTCGTGTTATTAAAGTTAGACAACTAAGATGTTTATGTTTGTCCTGACAACATAGGTCTCACTTGGTCTGTTCTCCTAGATAAGTTTAAGGATGGAGCTGCTGTCACCTTTGAAAATGGGTATTTTAATTATTAGGGGACTCATTACGACTTTTGACATCCTTATATGTTTTTTATATTGGTAGACAAGTAGGCAAGGTTATGATAATACCGATGTGGTTAATAAGTAATCCAAAAAACTGTGATTAGTCCACCTCGGATCCTTCTATATGATAACAGCTTTATCTGAATAAAGTACCACCCGAAAGCCTGAAAATTCTAAAGACAGTTCCCGTCAAGTTTGCTTAAAACTTCAGAAAAGAATTACCTCTATATTTACGATATTTGAGCTTTAGACAAACTGTTACTGTACTCAGTATTGTAAACGCTTTGACATAAATTATCAAACGGCATGTATCCTGCCCAAAGTATCCTAAGAGTGCGACTGTAGAACCACTTACAATCCAGTTGTTTTGAAGTGTTTTATGGTCCGTTGTGGGTTTTTGATCGACGGTGAATAATTATGTAATTATCCCCACATCACTGACTAGTAGGGATCATAATGCTCTTGACAGGACTTATTAGTATTCACTAATTATCGGTCTGTTTGAAACCTTATAATATTCCCTGCATTTCGTTTTACTTTCCATGTCTTCACGCTATCTGCGTGTGGCGAAACTGATAACTTCGGAGCTTTAGGTAGGTCAGTTAATCACAAAACGTGAAATTACGATCAAGATTGTCCTCGGAATCCTGTATAACACGGGTTTTGAGCCTAAAGTCTTCTTTGTCCCCACCTAAGATATTTGTCCATGCAGGTTCTTTTTTGCTTCAGGTCTTACTTCTCTTTGTATTTATTTTATTTATTATTTGATCACATAAACATGGATATAAGGGACACCAAATACACATGCTCCACACAGTAACAATGAGGCCAGCAGTAGTTATCATTAATTTGTGTGAGGGTCGTGATACTGCTCGGGTGCTTATACTGAAGCAAGTGGTTTCCTTAGGAGGCCACTCCCCGAGCCTTTGGCTTAGATGTTTAATGCACAAGACAGATAGTTCACAAACCTTTCGATTGTAATGACTAGGGGATTTTTTGTGGTCACCGATTTTGTCAATGGATAATTTAAAGGTTCCCAGTGTATTTCCTCCTGACTTTGACCACGTCAACTTTTATCGTAAAAAGTTTAGGTATGTAACTGATTAATTCCAATTGATTTGTCGTTCTGCCGCATAATTTATTGATTAAATTATTATGAAAATTCTTACCCCCTACTAAAACTTAAGTAATATTTGCGAATTCTGAATTTAATAGCCTGTTCTAATTTTGATGATTCTCTTTAGATAAGCCAGTGGTACGAACTTGTAATATATACAGCTAGTCTTGAAATTTACGGAGCAGGAGTAACTGAGTTGCTCGACAATGGACGCCATATTCTTCAGAGACGATTTTACAGACAGGTCGGTTATTGTTGAGGAAATTATTTCCATTTCAGCGTTACGTCCATAATTGCTTGTTCGGTAATACAATTAGTGTAAAATTTAAAATAAATTCTATTCTTCTTGATATCCATCAAAAGATGTGGGATCAATTTCTCTTTCAAGATCTATAAATCGACAACATTGTACAAATAGATATATAAGTTGCAAATATTGATCTATTTGGCGAATTATTCCTCAGTGCAGGATCTATACTTCTATCCTATGAAAACTCAGTCCTAAAGATTATTGGGATCGATCCCATATGATCTCTAGGATAGTATCCCTCATTTCGAACTCTGAAGAGTTTGCGTGAAGTGTGATCACATGTGGAGTTGAAATCAGCCAAGTACCATCATTCTCCTACAATATCGCTTATGTTCTACATGTATGTTAGATTAAATTGTTACCATGTAGTATTCCTGATTTCCATTTTTCTTAAGATGATCATTCGTGCTCGTCACCAACCCAATCAACAAAACCACTTTTTTGTCTTAGACTTTCCCATCCCACAACAGTCGATTACAAAACAAGATTATAATGGGTTACAATCGTCTTGTATTTATTGTCCAGTCACCTCGTTTTTGAACAAAGAACTCTAGAAAAACAGTTGAAGGAGAACAACCAACGACATGGCCAGCCAACTATGAATGTTTAGCGCATTGGAATGCTGGGTTTCATTTTAAATAGTTATAATCTAAATGAAAATAACGACCTTGGAGAGTATGAGTTATCTAATTTTGTGTGAATCTGGTAGGCACGTTATGATTACGTCTATGTTACCTTTTTATCCATCTCAGATAAGTTAATTGGTGTGTGTTTACTTGACCTGTACTCAGCCAGTATAAACGTTTTCACATAAATTAACCACCCTAACATAATACCTTTCTTTCGTAGTCCATTTTATACGATATCTGTGGACTTGTTGTCTTCAGTTATGTTTAATGAGAAATAAAAATAAAAAGGTACCAGTTAAATAGAAAACAACCAATTTACTGTGCTTACGAGTTCTCAGGTCATTTGTGAATCTAAATTGCTGATAATAAATGTCTATATTTCTCATAGAGGTTTTCTGCACTGTAGAACAATTTAATGAAAACCCAATGTTACTAGGAAAACCAGAGCTTCTACGTGTCATTTTACCATTGAATGAAATTAAACCAACCGTTCAAGAATTGTCTACGTTCGGTACATAAAAAGTTAACAATAAGCATTTTAGACTCCAATTAAGACAAAAAATGTAATATTTCTGGTCATCCGGTTTCATAAGTTACTCTAGGATCATATGTCTATCTTTAAGATAGATGTAAGACTGAAAGCCATAATGTTTCGGTGTTAATAAATGTAAATCGTTTACTAACTTTTGTGGTTTAGTGATTTGGACCTTAGCATGTTTATGCCAGGTCCTCAGTTGATTATAACTAATTGAATCTCTCATTTCTATGTTGTTGAATGTCTTGGTACCTTAAGAAAGCGCTTATTTGGTGGTTTTTTTGTTTATCTACTGTTTTAGCATTGTACATATGATAATGGCAGCTATTCAAAGAATCTTTCCCTAATTACCTCTGATATGGCTTCTGTATTCATATTAGACAATTCTCCAGGGGCCTATCGATCATATCCTGGTAATTTAGTGTAATTTATTACCGTATTTCAACTTCATCTGTTGTCTAGCTTGTTTTCGAAGGAAATTTAAGGTTCTTTCAAATTTGAATCGTTGTTAAACGTTTGTTTGATAATTTTTGCAATCTGACTTCACGTTCGTGTCAGACGATTTTTATTTTCGACATATGAAGAGTCGGTTAAATAACCCGTAGTTGAGTTTCGTCCATCTATTAACAACGGGACAGTGATAACAAAGATTGCTTACATTGATGTATTTCACCCTCATTTTTACTAGAAAAAGATATAACTCGTTGCACCATGATACAACCTTCTAGAAGTAAGGTTCTGATTATATTCAATGACTAATCGCAAGTAATCAATGCATATACATTATCATGTTAGTGTTATAAACTTCAGTAATGCGAAATAATTACTATATGCACTGTCGCTGATGGCAAGCTAAGCGCAATGTATGTAATGAGTATATTATCACAGACCGATGAAGATGATGTTATTAAGCCCCCCACTCCCACATTGTGCTTATTCAAAGGACTTTCAGTATGTTGACGATTGACTCAACGATACTTTCATTTGTATCCATTATCAGAAGACAGTTCTGTCCAACAAAAGTAAAGCGACTCTTATATCAAATAACAATCACTGCATGAGTGTTATCAACCACCTTGTAAAGGGTTAGTGTTTTTTTGGCGAGTTAGTATTCTACGGGATGGGTCGCTAACCCCATGCCCAACCTTCCTCCTTTATCCGGGCTTGGGACCAGCAGTAGCCCTCAGAGTGGCTCCAGGCGGAGTTGTAATGAATGTATACACCATTTAAATGAAATACTCTCTGTTTTTCGCCGGTAGTCTTTCACGCGTTTCTCACAGATCTACACTGTATGACGAAAGTAAATATTTCAGACAATTTATATCAGATCCCTACCCTTTTTAAAACGAATGCGACAAAGGTCTAATTATAGCTAAATATATACTCCTAGGTTTATACTGTTGGAAATGTAAGTACAAACTGCTAAGCACACATAAATTTCAATGATTTCATTTCAACATACCAAATATTTTCAAATGATCAAGTCTCTCTTCCTCGACAGAAATATATCCATCTTTGTAAAAAGAAGCTTGAAAATGGTTCTTCAGTTCCGATGTACTGTACCATCTTATTAGTTGAAGCTTTCTCTAAACACTTGCATCATCAAGTATAATAATGTTCAGCTGTCAAACATGCTCAACATATTTTGACTAGAGTTGCTACGACGGTAAATCAGTTAAAATATCTTTTGAAGTCTTTTACTCAGCTTTCCAAGTATATTTAGTCATCTATCACTGTGCCGTCAATCTCAGAAGTGAATTAAGGGAGTGTCATTACAAACACTTTATTTGATACGGTCATTTGATAAATAACTTCAGGGTGTATTGTTTGGATATAGGGATAAAGTTATTTCGTTGGCAAAAGTAACTATGCCACTATAGCTTCAATCTACGTTATGATAACGGTTGGTTACATATCATTGTTAACACCTATACGTTCTTCTAAAATTGATATTTCTACTGCTTTGTTTGTTTTTCAGTTGACAAATATTAATATGCTTATATCATTATTAGGAATAGTTTGAATTATCTTGTTGATATTTAGGACTGGATTTTGATCAGTATTTGTTGGTGTATGTGCATCATGTATGGATTGCCTCGATACAAACATGATGACACAAGTTATTCATTTTAGATTAATTGTTGTTAGTAATGAAATCCTAGTGTGAATATCAACTATAGGATGCTGTCCATCCATCTGATGAGTCCCAAACAGGACGAAATGTGGGTCCTTGATTCAACTCCTAGTCACAACTCATCTGTTTTATCAATATTCTTTTGGTTTATTTATTTGCTTAGAGTTATTGGACTTTTACTAGTAATTGTCTCTTTTTGTCGTGTAGTAGTAGTCAAATGGCTCGGCTTCCATTCATTAAGTCTCAAGTTCGTACCCCGCTCTACCCACATCTGTTTGGGTAGCTGGGTTGTATCATTAATTCTTACACCTTGCGTGGCTTATACTCAAATACCTAGTGAATGAGTCGATTTAGTAAATTTATTTTTATCTCTTATTTTGATGCTTATCCATCTTTATTTTAATGCCTACAGATAATGCTATTCCGATTCGGTCGTGGTTTTCCGATTCACGTGATACAGCCCTTCTATGTCTACTACCAGTACTGGATGCTCTTAGGTTTGTGAGCGATGTACGTTCAGTACTAAGTCGTAATTTACACAGGCCCCAATCCATACTACCTTAACACTAATACATGCATACATGTTCTTCTGTCCAAATACCTGATTACCTTTTTGTGTGACCAGATTTTATAGGTTCTAATTATTATTAATACTTAGTTGTATATTCAACTTCACAACTCTCATTTCAGTTAAACCTTTCTAGTGCGTTAATCTTTATACTTAGAATTTTATCAGACTATATAATGTGTACATGATGTTTTCTAATTTCATTAGGGCTCCTTATCTAATAGACTCAGTACTGTGTTTTGGATTATTATTCTCAATATCTTTCTGTGTTTGCTACGTTTTTGTTCATGTTTTAAAGCTTTATAATCTTTTTGTCTCCAGTCCACTCTATTGTCTGCACAGTACTACTCTATTTTGCGTCTGTTGTTTGATTCCATGAATAACTTTAGGGAGGTGTTGTTCAAATTAGTATGTATACTCTACTTTTTCTGTGTACGCCTCAGTTAATATGAAATAGGTACAATTGATTTGTTGATACACTACTAGAATAGCATATTCTATTGTCCTTGTGAGCTAAAATTGTATTATATTTTGAATACTTTGTTTCTTATACTTATCAGTATTATACCTGTTGTTATTTTTAGACTTCCCTTCATATCTGATTCCAGTCTCTATTTCCTTCTTTTTCTTCTAATGATAAATACAGTTATTTAAACCTAATTATTACCTCAATAACCAATTCTACCAGCTTTCTTGTGTGTGTAAATAATAAATATACAATTTATTTCTTACTGTAAATTAGCTTTCTTTTTGTGGACATATTTAAACTATACGTTGGAGTGGCCTAGCGGTCTAATGCGCTAGACTCAGAAGTGTTCTTCTGGGTGTTCTGGTTCACGATGTGGGCGTGGGTTCGAATCCCACCTCCGACACATACTCGCCCCCGAATGCCCTGGTACGACCGAAGGTGGGGAGAGTCTGCTCTTCCTCTCAGGACGCATTCACATGGCCACGTGTATGCAACCACTGTCAGAGAAGTTCTACTCACTGCCTTCTCGTGGCATTACTGTTGTTTACAAAATTGAAAGAACGAAAAGCAAATGTCCGGCGCTTTTACCGGGCTGGTGGATATGGAGGATCCACCTAAGGGATTTAGAAAACCCTTATTCCAAACTGATGGTACATATGGGCTGGCTCCAGTATCCTGAAGAACAAATAGTGTATGAACCAATTGTTGGTCACTGGTTACCATGGGACTGCATCTCCTCACGTTGCTCCACTGTCTTGTGTATTAGACCTTTAGGTTGAAGTCTCGGGGTGTGACCCTTGGGAAAGCCACCTGCTTCGATCTGGGCACCCAAGCAGTATAACAGCCCACACAAATCGAGTGACTTGTGTTGCGCATTTGTATTCGGTGCCCCTTTATACCAATATTTATGTGTTCAAGTAAAAATAAATTATACACATCTATGATTATTACAATTTCTGGTTGGTTTCGTGTATAAGAAAAATGCAAAATCTTATCATAACCATAAGATAACTAGTTTAACCTAAAGTTTCTACGTTCAAATTAATTTTTGAGAAGCATAAAACGAGATCTTAAAACTGATCTTGTTTGTATCAACAATATTTATGACACTTAATTTCCAAAATACATTACTGTTCACTATGGCTCAATAGCATTATGTAATTCTGTGAGTCTATAGGTTCTATTAAGCTTACTCTAAATGTTAAAAATTTTATAGGTAAGAATTTTTTGGGTTATAAACTTTCCCCTTCATATTCATCATTGAGTTTGATCGGTCTCCCCCCCTTCTAGTCAGCGTTAGTGAAATTCGAAATTTAAATAACAATGCTTAATTACTACATTATTTGGCTCCGGATTGTATGGTTTAGGATTGCTTTATACTGATCGTATTCTGTGTTTGTGTATACGCTTTGAATATCTTATTCATCTCACTTACATGGAAAATAGTATCTGCTCTAAATAATTATTGATCAACAAATTTGACCCATGCAAATACAAAGCGGAATTAGTGTATGTGCCTGCATGTATCATATGTCATTCAGTCGATTGGGTGGAACGGCTAGACTAATCTATATTGCACTACTTGTTTTCAATACATATATTGATACCCAATCTTAAGCAATTTGAGTAGTACAGTATTGTTTTCCAGGTAGAAGGGTGTAGGATATTTTATAAAACTGTTTATGATTGGTTAATATTTGTTGTTTTTTAGCATTATAGATTTGGAATTATTTGAGTATGACTAATTTCCATTTGTTAGAAGTTTATCAGAAACATTAAGGTGGATAGTCGGCTATCTTATCAGATTCTAACCATCCACTTCATTTATGTCTTTCTCCTTGTATATCTGGTAGAACGTGACGTCAGTACTTTAGATTCTATGCATTCAAGCAAAGGTATAAAAGCTCTAAAACAACTTATCTAGTAAATATACTATGCGACGAATAGGTTGTTGGAGTTGACCTACCAATTATTTATATTCTTGAACATGTTTCTAATTATATAAAAAGGTTGTACAGATTCAAATCTTCTTTAAAAGAAAACATTCCATTTAATTCCAAGTAGTTTATCTACTTGACTTATGCATATATGTATGCAGTTATCAGTTTCCTTCATTCTCCCCCTTTTTTGTAAACGAAACTTGTAATATCTTGTGCTAAGAATTCTATATTGTACCAAAAACATAATATTGAATAAAGTCAATAATAATACCGCTAGATTTCGATTTCGTTTGATCAATGTGTTGTACTGGTGCCAAGGTTTCACTTCGTGCAGCATATTATTCAGTAAGATAGTATGCCGAGGCTACCCAAAAACTGAAAATCATCACTGCCATGTTACCTTACATAGTCATTCACTATCTGAATTATTGATAAATAAATTAGTAATATCCCAATGAGTAGAAAATTAGATTTTCTGACGTTTCGTGACTTAGTGTAAGTTACTTCTTCATATAATAAATAACCAGATTAAAATTAATCCAAGTATTTTAATTGGGTTATTTATTCTCTGAAGAAGTGACTTACACTAAGTCACAAAACGTCAGAAAATCTAATTTCCTACTCATTGGGATATTACAAATATATTATTTATTTATAACAATCTACCCAATGCTCAATTTATTCGAAATTATCAAATCAAACCTTGGTAATGATACCTATCTGAATTATTGTTTATAACTCCCAATACTAGACACTACAAAACTTGAACTGCTTACTACCACTTACTGGGGCCTTTTATCTGTCGTTGTTTAGATCGGACGATGTTGTCGAAAGGGCTCCACTTTAGTGGCCCGAGATCTGAATCCAAGGAGATTGTAATGATGATTGTTGTTGAAATATATATGTCACCTATCCTCGTATACAATCATCGACTTAAATCGCGTTAATCAATAACGGAATTAAATGAGTCAAATAATAATAATGGACTTCTGAATACATATATTTTGTATATAGAGCAAACGGAGTAGAGAAGACAAACGACGCGCAGTGGAGATGGCTGGTAAGCCAACACCCATTTAACCAAGCGTTAATCAATATTTATAGTTACACAAAGTTACAGACATGTGATGAGTAATGGGATAAGAAATGTACACACACATACGTGCTCACATAACAGTCAAGATTGATAAGCGAATAAATAACAAGGTCAAAATGTGACTTAAGTAGAACGAACAGATTGAGCTGTCCGTAAGCTAGAATAAGGTATATGGGCTTAACATAATAACCTACACTCTACACTTCTCGAGATGAAAGATTTTACGTATGCTTATTTCTTTTGTGTATTACAATCATGTTGTTTTCTCATTCACTGCATATTTGAATTTTTATCAAAATTATAGTGAACGAGAACACAAGTGGAGACAGTCGAATGTATTTGAACACAAAATTACAGTATCTTATAGTAAAATCTGAGTACCATAAAGTAAATACTTCATTTACAAAAGATCAATCAATTGTCTCAAAATTGATTGTTCCTTCATTTCCACACTAATCATTGTCTTTCCCTGTTCTCTTTTCTTCGATCTTCTACCTCCAGGTATTTCATTTTCGATTGATGATACTGCTTATACCTATTGACATCAGTAGCATACACCACACAAGTATTGATGAAATAGATATAATGTATATACCAGTGAAATCCAGAACTCATGTTTCGTCCTATTTAAAACACGTTAGCCGGATGTGCGAATCATTATAAATTAAATTATAATTAAAGCATAAATAAATCACATCGAATATTTAATAATCCGGACAAATATTCTAGAAGGCAAAATAAAAGTTGAGAAACAAAGATAACATTGTAACCATAATAAACAAATAAATGTATGGCATTTGTAGGTAAGGTCCATGATAAATGTATTAGACAAAAATATTTTCAGTTTAACATCTTAAATAAAGTATAAAAGTACTCTTGAAATATGTATTAAGGACAGCAGTACACTGTCACTATCTCATCACTAACTAACTCCTCGATTTAACTGAGATCGATAATGTGCACCCTTGAATTCACGTGTTTGGTTTATGGTTGTGTTATGAGTATGCACTGCTGCGAAAATCCGTTCTTGGATGTAATAACTAATCCGTTGATTCGTGATCCTCAATTATTTTCTATATAAGGTCATCCGATTAATTTCTTTATTAAAACTTGTTTGTCATTAATATTCGAATCACAATAACTATCATGATTGATTTGAATTTGTCACTTAAATAGTATTTATTTCACACTTATACAAAACGTCTGTCTGATCTAAATAGCACGGTGAAAACAATCTTACGGAATGTAACCGTTCTAAAGATTCGTACGATCTACTGATTTTTCACTTTTGAGCAGATAACACTACATGTTATAAATGAATCGTAATAGCAAATGTCATCTGATAGGTTTTTCTAGGTTTACTAAATACTCTCAATCTAGCGGTAAATTTTTCAGCTCTGACTTCAACTTTACTAATGGTTGTTGTAAAATGATAGTTTCTTATTTTAAAGCATGACTGCCGTAGACGTTACATATAATGTATTTTAATTTGGCTTGGTTCATCTGAATTACACCTGTGCTTTAACTTCACGTAATACTTCCCTCATTTGGTTAATGAGTTTAGTCAGGTATCCATGACCAACTAAGCATTTAAAACAAATATACATCCGTCAAAGTTCCTAGATTACCCCGAAGACGAAGAAAGTTGACTCGATAAAAATTACAGGAGTCGGAAAACCAAGGAACGTGAAGTATGCAGTATTGTTAAAACA